AATATTTTACACCCCTTTCACATTGAGGGGGGGTCCACCATTATTTTATTATGTGTGGGCCCCCCTCCATGTGAGGAGGGTGTAAATCATAGTGTAAAAAATTGTGTACACATAACTTTATTCATGTTTGACTGACAGGGCCTCTAACTCCGCCTCCGCATGGCTGTCGTCAAGATTAACTGATGACAGCCGGCTGCAGGAAAAAAGATCAAGCACAAGGTGCCAATTTATTTCTTATCAGGGAATAATATTTTATTTTGTAGGTTTACCTGTTGCAATCAAAAGGACCAAGTCAATAATTTTTGGCTTTAATAGTTACTGCATTCTTTCGTATATTTTACAATTCTTGTTAAATCAGCAAAATATGTTTCTTTGCTAATATTTCTAATGATAGGTTGAGTTAATTTTACTGTTGTTCTGTAAATTTCTATATTTTACTGCAAGATGGTTCGGCTTTCGTGACATAAGCCAACATTCTTTATTGTGTGAAGATTCAAGCTTTCTCTGTGTTCTTATCTATTAAGTCATTTTCGTATGTTGTCAAGGGAGGCTCGTTCTCACAAATTTTACATGTAAAGAATCGTTTTTTCCCCCCACAAGTCTAACGTTGTTTAATGGAATAGTTGGTTGTTTAAGGCCAGTGTTTTATGAGGGAGCAAGGTCTACTTGCCATAATAAGTTATCGATTCCTAAACTTGGTCAGCATTAGCGTTTCTGATCCCCATTTTAGGTTACAAATTAGCTACTCCATCTACGCGGTATGATTAGTATTTCGCACTTTTCACCTGCTCATCGGTTCTTCAAACAATCATCATTGACGGAGTGTCTGTTTCTTTTTTTCATCACATTTGGCTTCTTAGCATACAGTTCCCCTGCACAACAGAATTATTCAGAAAATTCGATTTTAGATTGCAACAACTCTGATGCAACAGGACCTTCTCCGGCTTTTCTTTATACCTGCAATGGTGAAAAGACTTCCTGCAAAGCCTTCTTACTTTTCAGAACACAACCTCCTTATGTTTCAGGCCCTTCCATCTCAAATCTTACATCTTCGGATCCACTGGAATTTGAACACCTGAATAATATCTCAAATTCAGACATTTTGCCTCCGGACCAAGACATTATAGTTCCTGTAACTTGTTCCTGTTCGGGTCAGTACTATCAAGCCAACACATCTTATGTTTCTCAAGTCGTTGATGAAACCTATTTCACAATCGCAAACAACACATATCAGGGGCTAACCACCTGCAGTGCACTTATGCGAGAGAATCCTTATGGTGAATTGGATTTGTTTCAAGGTTTGAAATTGCAAGTGCCCCTTAGATGTGCTTGTCCTACAAAACAACAGATTGTAAATGGCACCAAGTTTCTATTAACATACTTGGTCACTTGGGAAGATGATATTCCTGCAGTTAGTGTTCGGTTCAACATAAGCAGCAGAAGTGTAGCAAACGCCAATGGTTTTTCTGATGAAAATTCACTTATTTATCCCTTCACAACTATATTGATCCCTCTTCAAACAGAACCCTTGAGCTCTCAGACAAGAACTTACCACCCAACATTTAGTTCTAATCCAAGTCCAATAACTCCGCAGAAGAAGCATAAAAGATCCTCGAGAGGACTTCGTGTTGGGATTGGAACTGCTGCTTCTTTAGCAGTTTTCTGTTTTGTGCTGTGTCTTGGTTTCTTCTATCACAGGAAAAACAGATCAAATGAAGCCTCTTCGAATAGTAGGCAGGGGGAAAATCTGTGGAAAATACAGGAGCATATCCTAGATAAAGTTGCTGGAATCGAGGAAATGCTGAAAATATATCCATTTGAAGAATTGGAGGCAGCTACTGGAAACTTCAGTGCACAGAAGAAGCTGAGTAATTCTGTTCATCGTGGGGTTCTTCGTGGAAAATTAGTGGCCATAAAAAAGACGAGCACAGACGTGACAAAGGAGATTGAAATTCTTAGCAAGATCAATCACTTCAATCTGATTAGTCTATATGGTGTCTGTGAGCATGATGGAGATGTCTATCTTGTTTATGAGTTTATGGAAAATGGATCTCTAAAGGAATGGCTCCAGAAAGTGAACTGTCCACATGTTCAGAGCTGGAACTACTTGATTCGTATTGCATTAGATGTTGCTAATGGGCTTCATTATCTTCACAACTTTACTGCTCCAGCATATGTGCATAAAGACATTAACAGTTGCAATATCTTACTCAACGGAGATCTAAGGGCCAAGATTGCAAATTTCAGTCTTGCAAGATTAGTCCAGAGAGAGAGAAATGGAAATTCGCTTAAAAGCTGTGTTCTAGGAGCAAAAGGTTACTTGGCACCTGAGTATTTGCGAGATGGAAATGTGACTCCAAAAATTGATGTATACGCCTTTGGGGTTGTTCTGTCAGAACTGATTACAGGAAAAGAGGCTGTTTTCCTGGAGAATGGAGAAGAAGTTTTTCTGTCAGAAAAAATCATGTCAACCACGGATGGAACAAATGCAAATGGTGAGATTAAGGACCTAATCGACACTAGCCTCCAAGTAAAGAATTCTCTTGGTTTTATCATAGATCAAACTGAATTTGCATTACGCTTGGTGAAATTAAGCGTTGCATGCTTGGCACAAGAACCAGAAAACAGGTTGAGCATGACTGAAGTAGTTTCAGCTTTGATGAAGATCCAGTTAGATGTCCAGAACTTGGAATCTTTTTCCATTGACGTCGGACTACAGTAGTGTGTTTATATCAGATTTTGTAATTTGAATGTGTTGAAGTTGTGACATTTTGTTGTCACACAAANNNAGTTGTGACATTTTGTTGTCACACAAACTATTGTATTTTGGTAAAGTATTTAGTTACAATAATCTAGTTCAAATGTCCAACTATGAGTTGATGTAAAGTTAGACTAAGTTAGTGTGTTTTACAAGTTAGCATGGTTGTGTAAGAGTTAGTAGAATAGTTGGTAGGATGTCTTGTAGTGTCTATCAATGTTTGGCTATATATAGAGTCAAGTTGTAAGAACAAAATATCAAGAAAATGTGTTAGAAAAACGTTCTCAAAATCTGGTGCTAAAACCAGCAGAGTGATTGTATGTTTTATTTATGTTTTTTTATGTTTTATGCTATGAATAACCGGTTAGTTCAATACCGGTATATCCTTCACTTCCTCCTCCATTCAAATGATTGTTAAGAGCTCTTTCAAGAGAGCTTTAGATCCATGAAATTTCCAACAGAATGTCTGTAATGAACACAACAACACTGTAACAACAATTGTAATGGCTGATCTTTCTATTCACAGGAGAAATTTGTTCATCAGCATTAAACAAAGATAACTAAAGCATTCAATTGAAAATCTCTGCGAGAAAATCAATACATGATTGTTTTCAGTTTTTCCATATTACATGATAAGAAAAATTACACTTGCAAACTTCTGATTGTATATGCTGAATCAACGAGCTATGACTGGATTAATAACAGGCAAAACTTCCTCAACTTCAAATTTAGAGGTCCAAGAGTTGTTGTACATCTCAGGAGACGATTGAGTTAGAACGCATAGGTTGAAGACGATTTCTGTCATTCCTGGTCTCGCAGAGGATTTATCTGATGTGCATGCTGTTGCCAAGGTTGCCAAGCTTAGAGCGCCTTCAATAGGGTACATGTTCTTCAAGTTTGGATCCATCCACCTCTTTAGCCTCTCGTCTCTGTGATCATCATCTTTCAAGATTCCCTTTATTTCTTTCCATAACATCACAACTTCACCATTATCTCTGGCTTCCATGACTTTCTTGCCTGAAAGTAACTCAAGAAGAACAACTCCAAAAGCAAACACGTCGATCTTTAACATGATAGAGGAAGTTGCATGCCTGGCTGTAGAGAAATTTGAAATCTTGGCCTTGAAAGTAGAATCAAGGAGTATGTTGCTTGTTCTGATATCCTTATGGACGACACTAGGTTGAGCATGCTCGTGCATGTACTGGATACCATTCGCGACATCTAGGGCTATAAATAACCTCTGGATCCAAGTGAGGTATTCCCCTGTGCCCAAAGTTGACAAACTTTTTGGGGAAAGCCATTTCTCTAGTGATCCATTCTCAGCAAATTCATAAACTATGAAAAAATTCCCATCATTGTCTGAGGAAACACCCATTAACTTCACCAAATTCGCATGATTTACTTTCTGTAGTATTTGCAGCTCCTCTGTTGCATCTCGTGTTTTCTTTACTGCAAAAACCTGATCATTAATCGTCGCCTTGTAGACTGATCCTCCAATACGATAACGTTCATTTAGGTTCATAGTTGCCTTCATAATCACCTGCAGTTCATACATTATCAGCTTTCCAAGATATCCTGAAACTCCAGGAAGCAGCTTATCCTGACTCGCTTTCTGCTCAAATATTTCAACTTTAGAAACTTTCTTGGTTGGAATCAGATCAGATGTTTCCAACGAAGAACTATTCCGGTCCAATGCTCTCTTTTTCTTGTATAAAAGGTGTATATACGCCAATACACCTGATAAAATAATCAAAAGAGCCACTACAGTACTTAAAATTGCAATGAGGAGCCAATAATGTTTCGATTTCTTCCCAATGGCGGAAGGAGGAAAACGTTGCTGTAGAACTGGAGAAGAGTTTACTGGGATCAAAACCGGAAGACAAATTGCAGCAGTGAAGTTTCTGTTATTGTTTTCTTCTGCAATATCTGTCTCTGATGCCTTAAACATGTTACTTACAGACCTTAAATCGTCAACCGGTTGCCATACATAAGTGACAAGGTATGTAATCCCCTTGTCTGAATATGAATTTCCAGGGCAATTACAGAGCAAAGGGAAGACCGCTTGCTCCCCAATTGTCAGGTCGTTTGCTTTCAATGTGGGATTCATGTCCATCGCAACTTGATAATTTGTGAGGTTCTGAAAAAGCTTGATTGAAACCGAATAGAAGGTGTCATCCTTCTTAATTTTGTACGTGGCATTAGAGAAATAATTCGATCCATTGCAAGTACATGTGATCGGTATCAACAAGAGCTGATCAGGAACCAGTTCAACATTCTCCGATGCTAAACTATTAGCTGCTACTATATCTGACCGGCTGATTTGAAACAGTTCAGATATATTTCCAAGATCCGAATAAGGTGATCTCACTCTGTACGTAGCGTATGTATCACACGATACAGGCGAGTTCTTGGAGCACGTAAAATTTGTATCTGCAGTATTAGGGGATTGAGCCGTGACAAGGGAGAATGAAAAAATGAAAAACAAGGACAATACTGAGAGCAAAGAATGAACTACCATTTTCTTAGAACTTAGATTGTATGATCACTGAGCGTATAAATTATGTCTTTTGGGCGACAAGAGAAGTTGTCAGGATCTTATTAACGGTCGATACAGAAGCCGTTCAACTGAAGAAAAACTGTTGATGATTTAACAAAAAATCCTGATATAATAATGCACAAGGGCAATAAACTCGAGAAAACTGTCATGGTTCGACTAATTTTTTAAATTTTTTTTCTGATACAGTCTTTTGAAAAAACTATGATTAGTTTAATACAAAAATCCAGGTTTAGACGGCAAGAACTCGTCCTTGCTTTTAAATTGTATGCAAGAAATTTGCAGAAATATTAAGAAAATAGATAGTTGATGGCTACACCATTAAATATGGTATTTTTTTTCCTAAATGTCTGCGTTATTGGTTGTCGTTAGCCTTAAATTTAGCTAGCTGGAATAACAATAGTCTTATCTGTTTTGTCCTTTTACGTGAGGATCAAATGGAACAGACAACAGAAGATGCCTGATAGAGCATCCCTTTTGAGTTCATACCTAACTTTTCAAAGATGATGTCTTTCTTATATTAAAAGTTCAGATTCTTCCCATAATATTTTCACACGGGGACAAGTTTGTTACACATTATTAAACCAATGAATAATTTTTTTGCTGATTTTACTTATTTGATCGGTGAAGTAATCTTTTCATCTTTTCCATTGTCTTTCTTTAAGCTTAGAGCTTGGTTGTGATGATTTTTCGGAAATCATTTTCAACCACACATTATATGAGGTCATAACTTTTCTCCACGTTCTCTGAAAAATTTATTTATCACTTGAAAAAATCTCTCTCAAATAAGCTCTTAAAATCCAAACATAGTAACAAATACACATAAGGCTTAGTAACTGTACCAAACAAAGTCTCAAAAGGAGAATATTTGTTTTGCCTGTCCAATATGAACATTTGATATCCTTTTATGTATGACTATTTAACACAAAATATGAATGGCCTAATGTCAAAACTTACAAAGAGAACATCATAATCACTTAGGCCGTGTTTGATGGGCTTAATTTTCCTTGGAAGTTGGCAAATGTTTTCCTTTTCCAACCATTTCTCTTGTTTGATGACAAAATTTGGCTTGGAAAATATTTTCCCACCTCCCCACCCACGCGCCCATTTTCCACCAAATCCTTGAATTCCTTTTCCCACCTT